GATTAGTACTGGAAATAATTTTGTTTGTATAGTGCGCGGGGGGTTACACTGTTTTTTATATTTTGTTTAAACTTTCTAGAACTTATTGATCATGCAAATGTACCATGAGCTGTGGATAAATTCATTTTCAGCAGCAATTGCTCCTTGTGTGATTACTTCTGAACACCAGTGGACAACTGTGGCCGCTGTCAGACTGTCAATATATTATGCAGGGTTCCCAAGCCCTGGCTGTTTGCATGCTTGTCAGGTGGCCTTGATGTCTCAGGATGTTCATTGTTGCTGAGTGGAGTCTGGAGGCATGTCTGCTTTGAAGGTGACCAGGTTCCAATTCCACTAAGGTTAAGGCCAGAAGCATTTGGTGAGCTCTCAGCTGGAATGCAGTGTTGAATGCATGCCAACTTATTTTTATGTGGGTGGCATTCTTTTAATTTAATTAATGTATGGTGTGACATACTTCCAACATGTGCAGCCCTTTTTGATTTCTTTGAGCTTTGCTGTTAACCATTAAAGATCAAGGACAACCTATTAACAGGAGGAAAATAAAGCGCGCGCGTCTGCCATTCTGGGATTAAACAAAGCTTTTATGACCTGTATGGGAATATTGGTCAGTATTGGATGTAAGCAGTCACTTCACACAGAGGTGGAGCACATTGGCCGTTGCTTGGTATTAGTATTACTGCAGTTGAGACAATATCTACAGCACATTGGGAGTAAAGGCATCACAGACTATCTATGCTCGGATTGCACTTTTTGGACTTACCTTACTGTACTTTAAGCACTATTTTTGGTGGTTATGTACATACTTTGATACTGTAAGATTAAGTTTTTACTGGGGTAACAGCACCAAGACTTCAGTTTCAATTTATGAATGTATATGTTTTATATACTATGTTGTTTATATTTTACACATTTGATGGAAAGAATGGTTTTCCCTGCAGGAGCAAATTGGATCATGCTTTGCTGGGGGGTTTTTTTTTTGCCTTCCTCTGGATCAACTGTGGGTGTAGGATTCTTTTTTTGGATGAACATTTCTTTTTTTCAGCCTGACTAACTCTGTAACAAAAGTATATATTTTAATTTGAATGGTAGCACTGATGCACCTAGCCTAAATTCCTACAAAGTTACTTACCTTGAATTGAGACTAACCACAGAGTTAGACTTTAAGTGGGTGTTACTATACTAACAGTTTTACACTACACCATTTTTTCACATATTACCCATTTCACTATTGTGGGGACACACAGGTGTTAGCAGAAGCTGCCATATTAACAGCTCTAGTTTAGGAAAGGTGGCAGCGCATAAGTCATTTATATTATACAGGTTCATGTACCTTTTGTAGACAGGTATAATAATCCAGGGCACGCATGAGATGTGCAGGCACAGTTAGGCTAGAATATCCACATGGACACTCCAGCCTCAGGTCAACTGCGCTTTCTCCTCTCCATTGCAGCTGTCACACAGACAGTGCAGCAGCAAGTTGTATATCTGGGGGAGGAGCCTTGATGTGATTCAGAGACACTAGTCAGAAAATGGGCAGATCCATAGCCAAAAGATAGACTGTTATTGGCTATAGAATCTGCGCACTGCCTGCTGACAATTGCATGGAAAGAACACACCTAATGGGTAACTAGTTTTAGCTTCCCCATCAGCCTCAGTTCACTGCAGCGGCACTGGGTGCTAGGAGACTGTTGGCTGCTTAGGTAACAGTGTCTTTAACAACCAGGGACATGTATGGGGTAACAGCAGCAAATACTGTATCCATTCTGTTTTACTGCATACAGAGACAGGCACTTTGCCTGTCTTGTACATCAACCTACACTAATGTTGAGGCATTGTACAAGCCATGATGATCTGCAGTGTCAATCATTTTGAAGGCGTTATAGTAGCAGGTAACACATGCACATTGAAGAGCACCACTATGCACATGCTGTGTGTTGTGGTATACTGCTTTCAAAATCATGTCTGATTTTTTAGCCTATATTGAAAATACTGTATATAATATGCTTTGGTGAATTGACCCTTTTCTTGCCATTCTTTTTTAGAGCATACAAACTGAGCAGCCTTCCTAATTTTTTGGGTTCTGTATCTGATTTTTAAAAATATGTTTTAGCATTAGAATGGAAGAAAAGGAGCTGGATGAGCAAAGGGAAAGAAAGTGTGTCGGGGGACTGTACTTAGCAAACATCTAAGATAGTGGCCACAATCCACTATCCTCCCCCTAAAACTAAATTGCCCTTTTTCAGTAGACTGACTCTGTTGCTGAATGTTTTTGCTAATATCAAGCTTTCCTTTGCAGGTTATTGAAGGCCAGTGACATAGATATGGGGATGTGATTGCAAAGACCACCATTGATGGACTGTGGGGCAATATGCCAAGGGCATCGATATTTTGACATGCTATACTGAGGTGTAAGTGGAAGATCCTAGCATGTTTTCATTACTTTTTGCATGCTTCGGATACAAAGTACAGTGGCTAAAGGAGAACAAATACTACTCTGTTCTTCCCTGTACATCCCAAACATTGGTTAACATAAACAGATTCAAACATATTTTGCCAATACTTGTACATACCATCCAATAATTTTTTTGTATATACAAACACATTACTAGTTTGTAACAGGAAATCTGAAATTCCTCCTCTCATAAGTTCTGAGTTTTGCCATGTAAGGTCATTTGTTTGTTATTATTGCTGGTAAAAGTTCCAGCTAGTTCAGACTCGCTTGCTTTAAACGCATAGGCCTCATAAATGTGTGCCAATTTTACTTTGAATCTGAATCATTTTTTCATTTTCAAACTATAAACTGAATTTGGCATGAAACTGTAGCACACCTTTTATACAAGTCCTTTAAACCTTGTTTGAGGTTATGTCTGTGCTCTCCCCCTGGTACTTGAAACTTTCCATATGGAGAATGACCAAGAAGTAGAGAAATTGAGATTAATCAGACTGTCAAAAAAGAATATAGACAAACGCTGAACCAGCAATGGATGTCAAAACACAAATGCAGACCAATGCTAGGGAGCTTGAAGGTCAGCTTTAAAAGGATGAAGGCTACTAGTCACACAGTAGAACCACTATGGCCACGTTCAAATTTCATAATGAATAGTCTAATACTATATACTGATGTTTAAATGAATCCTGTACTTCACCCAAGCAGTACAAAAGGAACAGTACAAAAGGAACAGTAATTATTAAAATGGTTCTAAAGCCTCAAGGTTGCTTACCTTAATGCATTAAAGAAAAAAAAAACCTTGTGTCACATATCCCCCCCCCTTATACTCACCTAAGCCCCATCACAATTCATCAATGTGCATGAGAGCTATGTCTCTCCTGGCTTTGTCCCTCCTCCCTGGGCAGACTCATGGCAGCATGAGCCATTGGCTCCCGCTCCTGTCAATCAACTCCAGTGACAAGGGAGCGGGGCAGGGCCAAGTCCTGCTGTCCATGTCAATGGACACAGCAGCGGGTCACAGGAGCGAGCCTACACGAGGGCCCCTATGGGAATTGGCTTTCTATTGGGGGCACCAGCAAGAGAGGAGTAGCCAAGAGCGTCGGTGGAGGACACAAAAGGAGGAGGATTGGGGCCGCTCTGTGCAATTCTACTGCACAGAGCAGGTAAGTACAGACATGCTTGTTTGTTTTTTTTCAACCACTTTACATACCTACCAGCAACATATATTTTCTTTACCTTCCTTCCCCATTGCATCATTCAGGTGCTAGGAGCGAAGAGAATAAGCCCTGTGTAAGCTCCAATTTACAACTTAGAACTTACACTATGAACTCCCTACCCGCCATTATGAGACAGTTCTGAATGCCTGAACAGTCCAGTGAGACATCCAAGTCCCTTAATAAGCTGATGACCACTGCCGTTAACTTGGTGTGATAATCAACTGGAATCACTTCTAGCAGACAAACTGATGTTTTTCCAAACTAATGTGGCAAAACGATCACTTACCTGGTCTGACTGCCAGCATTAGCCATTATGGAAAAGAACTTACTCTTCCTTTTGGATGTTTCACTTGCAGATTATGTGGAATTCAACATAAGTAAAGCTGGCCACCCACTAATTTATTTTTTCTTCATTCAGTCTGCAGGCTGAATGAGAAACATCTAACAGATTCCTCCATCTATGCCAAAAAGGGAGGATGGACAAATCTCTTGCAAAGGCTACTGTATTCTGATAGCTGGCACCTGTTAGAATACAGTGGGCATTGCCAAACACTGACTGCAGCTTATTGTGCAGTCACTGTTCAGACTACTATTATCTGCCAAGTAGTGTATCAACATGGCCACCCCTGCTTGAATTTCAGGCCGATTTATCTGAAGCCAGACAAAACTCTTGGCCAGCTTAAGATTCCAGTGAGGGCAAGGTATTATGGAGAGAAGATTCACGTCTCGGAGGTAAAAGTAACCAGCAACATATCATCCTCTTGGATAAAAGTAAATCAATCTTTAAATCCTTACCTTTTACAAAGATTTTCAGTGACAAATTAAATTCTGATAACAGAATATTTTGTATTTCATGTTGTTTTTTTATTTCATTTGTTAAATTACATCTCCATAAGAGATACTGTATATGCTGATAAAATATAGGCATTAGTTTCCACTTTCAGGCAGGAAACAGTTCAACACGCAAATAACTTAATAACAGTCTTGTGGAAGAATTCAACCAGGTTCTGCGTTTGATTAACATGAATAGAGCATGTTCACTTTGCAATGTATATGTATGCTTAGCTTGGTAGATGAGGTGAAGATGTTCATGGGCAGGCAAAAAATCCTTTTATTTTTTTTTTCCTTGCACATTAATGGGTATTCCAAGTGAGCAAAACATCACCACATTTACTACATCAATTGAACAGCCTATACTCCTTTAATAAGTCAACCCTATTGACTCAAAAAGAAGTTTAGCGATTGGCAAGTCAACCAACTGCCCATCACAGCTGGATACAGACACATGGGTCAAAAAATGTAGAGTTTATCCAAGATTTAAGCTTCTGATAAAATCACTCCTGATGTTCATGCTCTTGGCCCGGTATAAGCCAGCGAATTCTGTCCGTTTGCATGGTGGCATATATTACAAAAGCTGTCACATAGAGAACAGAAAACACTAGAAGCCAGTCAATTCCTGTTTGAGGATTGCACGGCAATGGTCCTTCATAGTCTGCTTCTATTACTGTGACATCAGGCTTTGCTTCAATTCCTAATTTAGAAGGAAAAACATCTCAGGTTAAGCATAATACATTGGTACCAATCAATCATTTCCATTCAGATTTTCCATATGTGCTTATGTCTGTGCAGACATCTGAGACTACATGGTTGGCAATGTAGGCCTTAAAAATGAAACATCTGAGTTTAAACCACTGTGCATGTGTCAGCTAGCTGCAAATATAGCAAGAGACAATCCAGATTTGTGGGAATCCAGACTAAAGCATTAGAGACTAAAGGCAAAAAATTGTTCGTATAATGTTTAGTATTATGCTCAAGACAAAATTTAAGTTTTAAAAACATATCTTTAGTTAGGATACCTACAAAATTATTTGTCAATTTGGCTAGCCAATCTCGTGGTACATACAACTCTGCTATTCAACAAGATCACTTTGCTGTTTCATGATTTCTCATTAATGTTTTCTGGTTCCGTTTTAGACCGATGCTTAATGAACAGATGCACAACAATTAATTGGTCAATGAGAAGGATGGAGGTAGAGAAGTGACACAGGAAGCTGCATTGGCTGAAATGGGAAATTAATGCATAAATGGCTGCAACATAGCAGAGGTGTGTGAAAAAATAAAGCTAATTAATATAAAAAATGCTTCGGCAGGTAAAACCTTACATGTATTTCTCTTTATTGTTTATGTTTATCCATTTTTTTTTTTTGTTTATCATTGCAAACAAAAAAAAAAAAAAAAAAAAACAACACGTCATCTCCTTTCTTGCAAGGTGAAATCATCACATGCTTATTACCCTTTACAGTTGGCATATTTTAAACTTGAATGACATCTATATATGTATTGTGATAGGCTAATAAAAAAATTACTGTTAAAGAACCCCATAAAACTATTTGAATGGTGTATTTAGCAGGCTGTTCAGAGTTCTGCTTTAACACTACCTTGTCAGAAAAAAAAGAAATTATAAAAGCAATACCCAGTAAAAGTAACTTTATATTTACCTGTCTGGGGACTCTGTTGAAACTTTGTTTTATTGCAGAGATCTATGAGCCAATAATAACCAACACTTCCAGGTGTGTGGAATACCATATCCCCCCTGGCTCCTGTATTTCCTTCCGTTAGCTCTGTCTCACCATTGTGAAACCATAGCAACCAAAGAGGGAATGCTATCTGACACAACAGAAGTGTTTTGGTAGTATTAGCACACAGAGCCCTACAACAGAATGAAGTTTTAGCATACCAAATATATTTATATATACACTGTAGATATATTCATTCTAGTGGTGAAATGAAATTAAAATTCTGGTGCTGAAAATTTTGGATGCACTTGGCATAAAAACGAAACCTACAGATTTAAATTTTTTTTCTTTTATTTAAGTCACTGGGGGGGGGGGGGGGGGGGGGGTTGCATTGAAGTCAATGGGGACTCGACTTTGCATGAAAGTCTATGAGATGCAATTTTGCACTGAAGTCACTAGGAGGCATTTTTGCATGACAGTGTATGAGACGCGACTTTGTACGAAAGTCGATGAGATGCAATTTTGCATTGAAGTCACTAGAAGGCTTTTTTGCTTGAAAGTCTATGAGACGTGACTTTACATGTATCGACACCATTATCGGCACCTTTTTTCCCCATCAGCAAAATGCCAATAACACTATTTTCGGCCGATATGTTTCTGCTACCAATATATCGGTACATCCCTATTTCATTCTATTAGAAAACCTGCAAACAAAAGAGAAGTAAAAATGAATAATAATGGATATACCTGACTGGTTGAATATGAAAGCCTTCAAGGGTTCCAGCGTACGTTCTGTGTGATTAAATCTGGCCATTGGCTTTGCACCTTGAAACAAGAGGATATTTGGAACAGCAACCGTACCAAACCTAGTGGACAGACTATAGAAAAAAATGCGTTTAGAAGACATCTCAGTCAAAAATGTAATATTAACATAATAACCAAGAGCTGAACATAGTACACAAGTACTACTATATGATTTTTTAACATCACTTTTTACTTTGTTTTGTTTTTTTTTTTTTTTTACTTATTTTGTCTCCATGACAGTGGAGTGTAAAGTCCAACAATTAATTTATCTCATCTTCTTCCTTTTGGTCTATTAAATATATATGACTGAAAGAGTTTTGTAATAAAAAAATTATTAAGGGGAGTACAACTAGGGAAATCAATGGTGGAGAAGGATCTGGGAGTTCTGGTAGATCTCAAGCTTAATAATGGCATGCAATGCAAAGCTGCAGTTTCTAAAGCGAGCAAAATCCTTGTAGTAAAACAGGGATAGACTACAGAGCGAGAGATAACATTCTACCCCTGTACAAATCATTAGTAACACCTCATCTGGAATATGCAGTTCAGTTTTGGGCACCAATTCACAAAAAGATCATTGGGGAACTGGAGAAAGTACAGAGAAGAGCAACCAAACTGATAAGAGGCATGGAGGAGATCAGCTACGAGGAAAGATTAGAGGAACTGAATTTATTCTCTCTTGAGAAGAGGAGATTAAGGGGAGATATGATCAACATGTATAAATACATCAGTGGTTCATATAGTGAACTCGGTGTAGAGTTATTCACCCTGAGGTCATCACGGAGGACAAGGGGGCACTCTTTACGTCTGGAGGAAAATACATTTAATCTCCAAACATGGAAAGGTTTCTTCACAGTGAGAGCTGTGAAAATGTGGAATAGACTCCATCAAGAGTTGGTTCTGGCCAGCTCAGTGGATTGCTTCAAAAAAGGTGTGGATTGTTTCTTAGAATATAACTGGATACTAACATTTATAGGTAAAGTTGATCCAGGGAATATCCGATTGCCTCTCGGGGGATCAGGAAGGAATTTTTTTTCCCAGCAGGAGCAAATTGGATCGTGCTTTGCTGGGTTTTTTTGCCTTCCTCTGCATCAACTGTGGGTATAGAGTTATAACTTTTGTTTTTTAATGGTTGAACTGAATGGACTTTTATCTTTTTTCAGCCAGACTAACTATGTAACTATGAGTGAGAATTGTTATAGTTGTCGAGTTGTGTAGCTGGCAGGATTCCATATACGAAGTTTAGTAGCATAATTATTAATGTGGAATGTTTTGTTAAAGAACATTAAGGGCCAGTTCACACTACATGCGTTTCAGTGTGCTATTTTTCTGCATCCAAAATGCACAGAAAGTAGGTATATGGTTGTCAATGTCATAGTTCACATCAGTGCTTGCAGTTCCAGTGTGTTCCGGATGCAGAAAAAAAAAGTAGAACATGCTGCATTTTACCTGCACAGAACTGTACTGGAACGCGGTAAAACACATCAAAAACACACCAGAACGCACTGGAATACACATGCCCCTGTTTAAATTGAAGAGAGAGAGGAAAAAATTAACTTGAATGCATCAAAAGTGCACTGGAACGTGCATGCAGAAACCCATTCAGAGCGCATCTGGACTGTGTTTCTATAGCATGAACCGGCCTTAATTGTTATCAGACTGTTATCAGTATAGTTCCTCTTTAACATTCAATTTTGGAAAGACTTTAATTTCCTGAACGAAAATCACATTCACTGTTTAAAGAACGTTCGTTCAAGAAAATGTTTCCTTCCTGCTCCTTCAAATTTTCTTGTCACTATGGTGAAAAATAAATAATATCGATTTCACCCCACTAACGATTAAAACAAATTGAATGAACGTTCTTGAGAATGAAAGTTTTCATTTTAAAATCTACTAGTGTATACCCAACTTTTAAAAAAGAAAATTTTATTTATTTTTTATTATATATATATATATATATATATATATATATATATATATATATATATATATCACTCAAGAGTGAGCCTAAACTTCTACTTCCTTGTAGAAAGAGTGTATATCTGCCACCATGTGACACCTTTAGGAAGCCTCTTACCAGATGATATGGACCATTAGATTATAAATGGTCACAAACACTTAGATGTATCCTTTAGCCACGATTCTCCGGGCATAAGATACATCCTCCATCTGGATTTCTCCATCAGTATTAGAAATTTCTAAGAGGGTATGTGGTTTTCAGTTAGTAAAATCCATTCATTCCCAAATCAAATGTTAAAGCAAACAAAATATTTTGAAGACAAATGAATATTCTGCAAATTTTTGTTCGAAATTATAACCATCTATGGCCAGCTTAATGCTGATTTTGGGCACAATCATGCAAAGGACTGGTCTAAATATATTAAAAGTCCCATTCTCTTTAAGAAAAAAAAATCATGTGTGAATCTGAAAAATCCCAATGCTCATGCTTTCAAGTGTTATGAAAAATGGCTAGTGCGAGAATAGATGGCTATCATAATCAATATTTTCTCCAATATGAAATGTATTTACACACACTCTGTCCAGAAAAAAAAAATACAATTTGCAAAATAAGGATGGGTAGCTCTCTAACAATGCTTACCAGATAGTGCCGTCTTTACTACTATTTATTACCAGAATGATCAAGTGTAAATAAAATAAGGTCCTGTTCACTTGGGCACTGACACCTGTATATAGAGAATGGGACTTTTATAATCATGCATCTAACGTCTGTGTGCTGTGCTGCAGGCAGCCCACTGAAGTCTGTTAAGATGCAGCAGCTGCATGGCCACAGCTGCTGGTCCTAATGTGCCAGGTCAGTGGATGTGGGTGAGGAGCCTCAAACACACGCTGTCTACATACAGGTCCACTTGTCACATTAGGACCAGTAGCTGTGGCTAAGGTATCGCTGCATCCTAATCGACTTCAATAGGCTACCTGCATACAGAAGTTAGAGACACTAAAAAAAAACAGCCCATTCACAGTATACAGACCTCAGTGTCCATGTAAATGAAGCCTAAGGGGCAATTTTGGAATGAGAAAACGGTATTAAAAAAGGGACACATGATGGAAAAATGGCAATTCCCTTCATTTTGGGAAGATTTCTTGTCACTCCTGTTTTGTCTCCAAGACAGGAAGTAAAAGGAAATCTCCATAACAGCAATCCCTTAGAGCGGAACTACACTGCACCTGACCACCACAAAGCAAAAATGCTACTGAATTCATAATATTAAAAGTAACCCCCCCCCCCCCCATCCATTCATGTCTCCATGCTTTATTTTGCTGAGAAATCACTTTAAACCCCAACCTCTAGCTGTGTCGATCTTGGAGAAGGTGATTCATATACAGTATGCATTGACTTGACTGGAATCCATCTACCCTTAGTTCATGCATACAAGCAAGAGGGCATGCTGGGAAAACCCCTCCTCTAATCCAGAAGACTACTGGGATGTATGACATAATTTGCCTAGGCCTGGAAACCAGGAAGTAATGTAAAAAAATTAGTTTAAAACAAGTGAATATGTTATACGTTCCTATCTATTTACTAATGCTAGCAGCAGAAGGATTAAAAATAGTCAATGTGGCTTGTGAGAGTGAAGTTCCACTTAAACTTCTCTAACTAAATGAAAAAAAATTTAAAAAAGGATGTGGCTATACATACACAATAACATGTCACTGCAAACTCACTTTTGTATACCATACAATATTGGGATGCTAGGAACATTTTAATGCAACAGATGCTGCCATAGCTATAAATATGCACTGCTAAAGGATAAGTTCACCTTTTTATAAAAAATACTAAATGCACTCTTTTTTGCAGGTAAAAAAATGTACATTAACTATTTTTGTTGTAGGAGCCTGTAAAGCACTGCAGGTCTCTTGCAGACTGTTAGTGTAATCAATCTGCTTGTGTGGTTTTATAATGATGGGAAGAATGAACTATTACAGCACTCAACAGTGCTGTGGTAGTTCATTAAAAACTACAAGCAGACAGTTGTACAGCCCCGCATGGCCGCGCTCTCTTTGAATTGTTGCAGTGGGTATTGGGAGAAGATCCCTGGCTCGCTGCCACAAGAAGAGAGGGGGGGGTGATCAGGGGAAGAGGGGTCTGAAGCTAAACATTACACCCTAAATATGGGTGAAATGTTCAGAAAGGTGAACTTATCCTTTAAACTGTTATGAAAAACGTTTCATTCATAAATCATACCTGCTGTGCTGAGAAGCATCCAGGGCCAAAAAATGCAAAGTTGGGAATGCTCTAGGTAATGCATTAAAATGAGGCGCCAGAGCAGCGGAAAAGTGGCACCACGGAGTGAAAAACAAAACCATGGTGCATTCACTGTTGTTGGGATTAAGCCATTCCATAAGGTCCTATAAAATACAAAATAAAACACAGGATAAAATTATAAATGTATACGATTGTGTGTATGCATAAATAAACCCTCACTTCGCCAACATGGAACAGCTCACTTAATTTGAAATTATACAGAACAGAACAGACACCCGTTCATTGCTGGACACACTTTTACTAACAGAATACATATTGAGAATGCTGTTTATATTCCTCTAAATCAGCCTTTTTCAACCAGGGTGCCTTTAGGTATCTTCAGGAGGTGCCTTGTCAAAATGCCTAAAAACTGCCCAAAAATTGTATACAAGCCACCAGGTGGATCAAGCCTATCTTTTAGTTACACAAACCCACAGGTTTTCATTGTGCACCATTACAACTTTCTAGCTGCCGAAGACATAACAACCAATGATGTCATCAGTTAATAAGAAGGACATTGGGCTCCTGCACAGTATCCTCGCTTGCCCCTCCCTGCCCCTCTCTGCCCTCACTGGAGTCATATTAGCTCAGTGAGAGAGAAAGTGAAGGAGAAGAGAAACAATGGCTTACTAGTCAGTACTAGTTTGCGAAGGTGTATTTTCTTTGAAAGAATAAATAACCTCTGAGGTTGGGTGTCGCCCATGTGCAGATGTTGCTGCTTTCTGTAAAACTATTAGTTTTTTACATTTTGTATTGGGTGGCTCGAGATTGTGATTTTAAATGGTGCCTTGACTGAAAAAAGTTTGAGAAACACTGCTCTAAATTATGGAGCTCTCTAATGCACACTTAAGAGCTGTGAGAAAGGGGTGTTATCAGCATGAAATTAGGCAGTTGACAGGGAAGACTGCAAGACTACAGGGGATCTCTTGGATTTGGGTCAAACTCAGATGGAGTAAGCAAAGCCAAAAATCTAAATATTTCATACCGTAAGGAAACCTATATTTTTTTAGAATAAAAACGCATATTGCCACCTGTAAAGCTACTGCGGTTCTATAGCTACTACGGCTTGTTAGTAAGAAAAAAAAAAATGTGAATGAGCTCCTGGCTAGATAGCAACTGTGAACTAATTTTTACTTTTGCAGCCTGTCCCAGCACTGAGCTAGCCCGATGAATCTACTTGTGATATAAACACATTTAACCCCTTCCCGCCCAGCATATAGCAGATTGACAAATGGACTTTACTCCTGAGTGGGACTCAAATTATGTCCTCTCAGAAGGCACTACGTGGCGGCATGATGTCACCAACTGTGTCACCGGCCTGCTGCCAGTGTCACGTGACTGCTGTGAACAATCAGAGCAAATCACATGACAATTGTAAACAATGGATGACTTCTTTTTGTGCCATCCATTGTATACAATTGTGTTGTTAGCTGTGATTGGTCACAGTGATCACATTGTACAGACAGGGCCAATTACAGCCCATCTGTACCATGTGATTAGCTTTGGCCAATCAAAGTTTATCACAACAAAAGGCACTAAATGATTCAGTTTCATTCAGTAAAAATGGTTGCTTATACTTATACCAATGAAATTCGTGTAAAAAATAAAAAAAAAAATAAAAACTTGATCTCTTCCCCAGAGTAGTACAATGTTACTATGGTAATACTGTATTGCTCTGGTCACAGTGCATAAAAAAAAAAAAATTTAATAGAAAAAATTTTATTTTTTTAATATACTGTTACCAGACAGTGTCCTGATCCCCACTACACCAGTTACATTCTAATGCTGTACTGCACTGGTGACAATATTGAAGAAAAAAAAATATTATGAAAAACTTTTAAAATTTCTTCATTTTCCAATAAACTGCGACAAAAAATTACAACTTCAAAAAAACTCGCCATGCCTCATGAAATACCTTGAACTGTTTATTTTCCCAAAAAGGGTCGTTTGGGGGATACTTGTACTGTCCTGGCATTTTCGGGCCTCAAGAAATGAGACCAGCCATCAAGTACATCAGAATTGATTAATTTTCAGATATTAATACCATAGTTTGGTGAAAATAACCCAAATCAGTGTATATTATTTAATCTGTAGGAAAGTCCACAAAGAAATGTAGAATACATTTTAACCTCAATTTATGAAGAAAGGTTATTTATTTGCAAAATTTTATAACAGAAAAAGAAAAATGTTTTGTTTTTTTTTTTCAAAGTTTTCAGTCTTTTGTTTATTTAACAAAAAAATAAACACCCAGTGGTGATTAAATACCACCAAAAGAAAGTTCTATTTGTGAGAAAAAAATGATTAAAGAATTCACACGGGTACAGTGTTGCATGACCACACAATTGTCATTCAAATTGCGAGAGCACTGAAAGCTGAAAATTGGCCTGGACAGGAAGGCGGTAAAAGTGCCCGGTATTGAAGTGGGTACATAGACACTGCTGTCACCATGCCCATTCAGGGCAAAGTTACTGTGTCTGTGTAAAGGGATCACTCACTGATACTCACCTTGCCAGCGCTAACAAAACCACCTCCCACCACCAACTGATACTCACCTTCCCAGAATATTTTGTATTTATTAACTCTTTAAAGTCTCATCATTTTTACTTAACTGATAAGTTGGTGAGTATATTGTGCTTGTGTTTGCAAAAATGTATTTCATAAAGAAATGTACAGAACTTTTGATTCACCCTAAACCACTTTTGCAACAACACTATTCATACTATTTATCTTTATAAACATTACAATCTTATAATATTTTACAAATACCACATATCAAATCACCACAAGAGACCACAGACATCATAGTGCTGGACAATATATTCACAATTGCCATACCTGGGAAGCATTGAGGACCTGCAAAGTGTAATTGTCCATTCCAGTGATATTGCGCTGCACACAGTTTACTTTCAGAGGTTTATTGCCATCTGTGCCGTTTGATTCTTCTGTTTTTATCTGTTCTGTATTTGATGTATCTATAGCAGTGTTTTGCATTTTTGTTTTCTGTTGGTTGTCTAAAGTACTATGTGGACATTCATTGATACTGCACTCTCCTTCAGCTTTCTGGATTTCATACACAGTATCAGATGTTTCCATGACAACTTTGTCCTTCATCTCCTTTGGTACCATAGAAAATAGTACTGCTGGGTCAGTCTGAATGTCCGAACTCTGCATTGCGTCTGCTATTTCAGCCGTCTTGTACTGAACAGTCTCCGAAACACCAACTCGTTCACGGTTCATTGACTCAGCAATGGCATCTACATTTTGCCCAACTCCAGTGTCATTGTCGTCTTCTGAATAAAGATCTTCATTAGAATTCCCTGAGTAGTAAAAACCATACACGTGTTACCTTTTTTCTATCAAACAACCAGTAATACACTGAAACTTGCCATAGTCAGACAGTTTTTTGTCCCCTTCAGCCAGCGGATTTCCATCCGCACAAACGAGGTGGATGACAGAATCTTCTCACTGGGACATTGTATTCTGATAGCAGGACTCTCCTCTGTAAGAATACACTGATCAGCAGCTGTAGCCTCTATTCTACAAAGGTTTTCCAGCATGTCCCTTTGACAAATTTCAATAAGTCTATGGGCAGATTAACTCAACAATAAAATGACACAACGTATCTAGTTATATCAACCTGCTGTCTAGAGCGCATTCACACAGATGTTCAGCCCTGCACGGTATGAAGAGTCGCAGAGTCTGGGTGTCCGGGGCCGTGCACCCATCCCTGTGTACCTGTCAAATTCAGCTGCACACACTCAGCATATCCTTTGACGTATATGCGCTACCTGCGTACAGCTCAGGGAGTACAGAAAGATAAGCGAACAGTTCTTCACGCTGTATGGGGCTGAGCGTCTGTATAAATTAGCCCTTACATATTACATTTCTCCAAACAGTTGCACATTTTGATTTATGCTTTTACATATCTGCATAGCATGTTATTGACACACAAATTCATTCTTAAAGAATGGGTTTAAAAAAACCCAAACATGTATTCCTCACCTATGTAGATGCAGCATCAAGCCAAATCTGCAGCTGTCCCCCAATGGCGATACACCAAGAGCTGAGTGATCAAAGACTGCTGATCGCTCAGTTCTTGGGTCCACTCTGAGCAGAGACCAGGGAACTGTCAGTCACAGCTCTGTGTGCTGACCCTTCTTTCAGTGACATCCTGAGAGGCTGAGCGAGCTGCCAGTCAGGCATCTGGAAGGATGCCAGTCCGACATCTGGGCTTCAATTTGTTAGTGTATCTAAATCTGCTAATACATTTAACACCCCCCCCCACACACACACCCAGACTGATAATGCTGCTGTCCAAAGGTGCCCCCTGTGCTCCTTAATCCAGGGATGGGGGCACTTTAATACCGAGTGTGTGTTAAGTCGGCCATACATGGATCGAAATTCATTTGGTTCAGCAAGGAATGGGACAAATTTCGATCCATGTGTGTGCACCCTGATTGTACATAAGTCCATTTGTTGATCAACTTGTGTACAACCAGCCTGTCCAGTTTCTCCCAAACGAGCTAATCATTGTGTTCTGTGAGCTGGGAAAATAGTGCTGCGGGGAGGATTCCCCCAATCAACACTGACTTTGTTGATCGGGGAATCAAGCAATTTTCTCTCCTTCCACCCGTGGTGGAAGGAAACAAAATTATAATATCTATAGGCTGCCTTTCTGGTCAGATCACCAGTCGGTTGAAAACAGAGGGCAAAAAAACCAAAAAAAATGAATACAGCCCCCACATTTGCTGAATGGTAAGCAGCAATATATAACATTTTTGGTTTTGGACTTAATACCGATTTAACCACTTTCCCGCCACCCTATAGTAAAAATACTGCTACAGGACGGCAGGGCTGCTCAAAATCATGTATATATACATGATTTGCATTTCTGCTATTGGCAGCTAGGGATGTCAATCACCAAGTCCCGGCCAGCACGTCGATCAATGAATTAAGTTGACAGGGGAAAGACCTGTGTGTAAACAACACAGGTCTCTCACCTGTCAGCATGGACATGCCGTTTTGTATCTCTCTACAGCATGCCTCCCTAGTAAAACGCACACAGTAAAACAGCACACAGTTAACCCTTTGATCACCCTTTCAAATTTAAAGCATGTCATGTCTATTTACTCAGCGTAACATCAACTTTTATATTTTATCAAACAATTGGGAAATATATTGTGTTTTTGTGCATTAAAATTCTAAAAAGTGTATTTTTCCCAAAAGATTTATGTTTGAAAAATTGCTGTGCAAATACTGTGTGACGTAAACATTTTTAACACCCACCGTTTTATTCTCTAGGGCCTCTGCTTTTAAAAAAAACAAATATATGTTTGGGGGTTCACAGTAACTTTCTAGCAAAAAAACGTGAACAAAATGTGAACAAACAGTGTCAGAAAAGGCTTGGTCTTCGAGAGTGGGTGATGTGTGGCATAAGGTTCTAATATTGGCCCTGAAATGCCAGTATTTGCTAAGAGGCATGGTGAGTACTTTGCAGATCTCATTTGTTGCCACATGTTTTTGTAAAACGAAGAAAGAAAACAAAAAAATTAATTTTTTTCTTTTTGTTTTTCAATACCCTGGGACAAAAATTATATCTGTAAAATACTCGCCATGATTCTTATCAAATTCCTTGGAGTATCTACTTTCCAAAAAGAGGTCATTTGGGGGGGGAGGGGTGTTTGTACTATCCTGGCATTTTAGAGCCTTCCAAACTGTGATAGGTATTGGGGAAGTGATATGAAGAAATATGCCCTTTGAAAGGTGGTCATTGGATTTTGGGGGCTTGTATGTAGCTAGGCTGCCAAAAAGTCCCTAACATGTGGTATCCCCATACTCAGGAGAAGTAGGAGAAAGTGTTTTGGGTTGTTATTTCACATATACACATGGCATGCATGAGCAATATATCATTTAAGTGACAACTTTGTGTGAAAATAAAATTGTAATATTCAAAAAATTTGTGGAAAAAGATAAAATGTCCCATGGACTCAACATGCAACTCTGCAAAACCCTTGGGGTGTCTACTTTCCAAAAAGGGGTAATTGGGGGGGGGGGGGGGTTGTACTGCCCTGGCATTTTAGCACCTCAAGAAATGTGATGGGCAGTCAGAAAGTAAAAGCTACATAAATTCCAATATATTTACCATAGTTTGTAGACGCTATAACTTTCACACAAACCTATTAATATACATGTATTGAGATTTTTTTTTTTACCAAAGACATGTAGCAGAATACATTTTCGCCTAAAATTTATGACTAACTTTGAATTTATTGGATATTTTTTATAACCAAAAGTGAAAGATACTGTATTTTTTTTTCAACATTTTTGGTCTTTTTTTGTTAACCATTTGCCGCCCGCCCTATGGCCGAATGGCGGACGGTAAATGTCATCAGCGTTCCGGGTGGCGTCCTCCCGCACATGCGCAGATTGCGCTCCTGCAGAGCGGCGCGATCTGTCACCGGCCGTGTACCTTGGACACGACCGATGACAGATCTGAGTATCGGCCCCTTTGCCTGGTACCATGTGACCTGCTGTGACCAATCACAGCAGGTCACATGACAGTTGTATACAATGGATGGCTTCATTCATGCCATCCATTGTATACTAGTGTCTAGCTGTGAATGGTCACAGCTAATCACATGCACATGTCATGTGATTAGCTGTGGCCAAATCACAGCTGAGCACAAAAAAAAAAAAAAAAAAAACCCTGAATGAATCGATGTCATTCAGGTAAATGCTTGCTTATAGCAAAGTAATTCTTTGCTATAAGCAAATTGTGTAAAAAAATAAATAATAAAATAAAAAATACTGATCACTTCCCCAAAGTAGTACAATGTTACTATGGTAACATTGTACTACTTTGGTCATAGTGAAATATGAAAAAAAAAATCTTAAAAAAAAGAAAAAAAATTTAATAAAAAAAAAAAAAAAAAATATATATATATATATATATATATATATATATATATATTTTTTTTTTTATTTTTTTTCCCCATACGGTTACCAGTCAGTGTCCCTGATCACCGCCATGCCAGTTATATGATGACGCTGTACTGCACTGGTGACAATATGTAAAAAAAAAAAATAGTGAAACTAATTTTTTTCATTTTTTCATTTTACGAAAAATTATGACAAAAAAAATACAACTTCAAAAAACTCACCATGCCTCTTAGGAAGTACGTCGGACTGTCTACTTTGCAAAAAGGGGTCATTTCGGGGATATCTGTACTGTTCTGACATTCTTGGACCTCAAGAACTTAGATTGGTTGTCAATACTTAAGGATTGATCAATATTCAGATCTATACCATAGTTTGTAAACTCTATAACTTTCCTACAAACTAAAAAATACATCCTAATTTGGGTTATTTTCACCAAAGACATGTAGCAGAATACATCTTGGCCTAAATTTATGAAGAACAATTATTTATTTGCAAACTTTTATAACAAAAACAAAGAAAAACTTTTTTTTTTTCAAAATGTTTGGTCTTTTTTTGTTAATTTAGCAAAAAATAAAACCCCCAATGGTGATTAAATACCACCAAAAGAAAGCTCTAGTTGTGTGAAGAAAATGATAAAAGTTTAGTTTGGGTACAATGTTGTATGACCGCGCAATTGTCATTCAAAGTGTGAGAGCGCTGAAACCTGAAAACTGGCCTGGGCAGGAAGGGGGTAAAATGCCCGGTATTGAATTGGTTAGCGCAAAAAATAAAAAGCGCAGAGGTGATCAAATACCACCAAAAGAAAGCTCTATTTGTGTGAAAAAAGGACAAATTTAATTTGGATACAGCATTGCACGACCGCGCAATTATCAGTTGAAATAGCGCAGTGCCAAAAAGCAAAAAATGGCCTGCTCAGGAAGGGGTAAATTTCAGGATGGGACATCAGTGCTTCTGACTAATGCTGACAAATAACATGAGCCTTGCTGTGGGAAAACTGCATGATGCCTTCTCTGACCAAATGAAACCTCAATACTAGCTGACCCTGCCAGGAAATACAATGCTGGTTAGTGCTGGTGTGGGACTACAAAGCCCAGCCATTCTCAGCAGACAGACTTCCCACCATACAGGCACACTGCCATTCCTCAGGTATACACACACAGGCTCTCCATAGAACATTCCCAGCATGCAGCACTGTGGTATGTGAATTCCTCGGTCATACACAGACATGCTGAGGCTCACCTAGTGCCGGGGTCAGAGACGCAGAAATCACTCCGAAAGTGAAGACAGCTCGCACACACAGAGGAGACACCTCCATCCTCCACACTAGGAATTCCACCCATACATCTCTGCTGCTCTCCAGACACTCAGCAAAAAACTCTTCCGGGTTCCCAGAAATCAACATTCCGTTTCCTAAGCACAGATCCGGAAGTTGTCTCCACTGAGCATCCATTTTGTTGAAGTCCAGCGCAGTAAGTCTAGTGTGGAATCATGAGAGACCCAAAGGGAGGCTTGAGAAGGACTGTGTATAGGCAACACGTTCCTGCAACAAGTCATTTTACACCGAGACAGATCTGTACTGAATGCTGAAAGAATTACTAGAGCTGCAGTTGTGCTGTATGAAACATTTACTTGCCTCTCAGTTTTGTAAATAAAACCCCATTTCAGCGGTGGGGGGGGATTTCAAAGATAACCATTAAAATCGTGAAATTTTTTTTACATCAGTCTGATTTCTCACACGTTTTAAAGAAATAGATCCAACATACACTTATTGCACTTATTGACCATCCTTCCTTGCACCTTTTGACTCTCTGCAATTCGAATCATAATCATGGCATGAGCTGCTTGGAGTTTGCATGTTCTTTCTGTGTCTGCAAGGAGGTTTTCCCACACTCAAAAGACATGTTGGTAATTGTGAGTGGGATCGATTCGATTTTTGCTTGTTTGGGTGAATATATAGACTCATTTCTACAACCAATAGTGAGAAATAATAAATCATTTTTAAGAGACTGGAGAACTAATTAATGTTTTGAAACCAATAAATGATATTGAAAATTGTTTCTTAGTCACGATCGATGTTGAATCACTATTTACAAGTATAAATCAAGAAGACGGAGTTAGGGCAGTAAAATGGGCTTTGAAACATAAATCTAAGAAGAAGAAAACCCAAAAAAATTTTATCATCGAATTATTAGAATTTGCTATGTCTAACAACTTTTTTTGGTATGGGGGAAAATTTTTCCAACAATGTAAAGGCATTGCGATGGGGGCAAAATATGCCCCTAGTGTGGCAAATATTGTTAGGGACAAATGGGAAGAGGAAACGATTTTTGATAGATGGCCTGAGATGGTTTTATACAGGCGCTATATAGATGACATTGTGATGTTTTTGAGAGGTTCTTTGGAAGATCTTAACAATTTTTTGCTCAGTATTAATAAGAACCAATATGGGTTGAAATGTACGATGATTAGTGATTCGAATAGTGTAAATTTTTTGGATTTGATACTATACAAACATAAAGGCCGTATTTTGACGAAAACGTACTTTAAAGATATTGATAAAAATAGCTACATTCCCATCTCGAGTGGACACCACCCAAGATGGTTATATAATACTCCTAGAAGCCAATTTACGAGAATAAAAAGGAATTGTAGTTCACAAAAAGATTTTGATGATCAAACGGAAATATTAATAAATAGATTTGTGGAAAAGGGGTATAAGAGACCCTTTTTGGTTTCTGAAAGAGACATCATTGGTAAAAAGATAGAAATAGCCTTCTGATGAACAGAAAAATTGTGCAAAATGAAGGATTTGATGTTTCATTTATTACTAGCTTTAATAACCAACATAAGAACATAGAAAACATTGTCAAGAAATATTGGACAATATTACGTAAAGATGAAATACTGAAGAAAATTATTCCACATAAACCAAAGTTCATCTATAGAAAAAATAGATCATTGAGAACAAAAATAGTCCATAACGTCCTAGACCCACCAAAAAAAGAAACATTTTTTTTTCCTGAGCTTCGGGGTTTTTTTCACTGTAAAAAATGCAAAGCGTGCAATATGGTGAAGAAATCCTCAAATAGAAAGAATAGAAAGAAATTTGTTTCAACTATAACTGATAAAGAATATAAGATTGATTCGTTCATCTCGTGCAATTCGACACGTGGTTTACATTTTGGAGTGCCCATGTCGCCTCCAATATGTGGGAAGAACAGGGAGACAACTAAAAACAAGGATTGCTGAGCATTTAAATAATATAAAAAAAGATTATGACAAACATAGCGTGTCAAGACATTTTAAATTAAAACATAATAGCGACCCAAAACTAGCAACATTTTATGGTATTGAAAAAATAAATGAACATTGGAGAGGTTCAGATAAAATTAAACAAATATCCAGGAAGGAAACTTATTGGATATATGAATTAAATAGTTTAAAACCGAAAGGTTTAAACATAGATATCGATCTAAATTGTTTTCTGACGAATTTTTGAGAAATATCAGATGGTGTGATGAAGATTGGTACTATTTTAGGTGTTTAATGCTTTAGTTCCCACTGTGGATGACAATCTGGTATAGTTAAAGATCTGAGGGTGAACAATCTATTTGTTGAAATTGTAGATAATTTATATACTGTAAGTTTAGAGGTGTATTGTGTTTTTTGTGGACACACATATGTATTTTTATATATGTGGTTCTCAGAGACAATTGTATTTTCCTTTTTTACATATTTTTATGCATTCTGTGCAGAGTACTTCTTTAATGTGGGGTATGGCCCTTTAAATAGACTGTGCAATATTTATAATATGTTTGCTATGTTTATTAGGATGATATTCAATTGTTGCCTTTAAAAGACATAATGCGATATTTATTAGATGTCTGCTATGTTTAGAGAATGTTATTTAATTGTTGCTTTTTTATTGTTCATTGTATACGGGAGACGGAGTGTTCAGTCAGACGTGGGATGGCTGAATACTTTGTTTCTATCTGTGATTGCATCTGACACACCACCTGGCATATTACTGTGATTGACTGAACCGTACCGCGATGCAGAGTGCGAGCGGTATAAGTTACACTGAACTGACGTCTGCATCCAGACCGCCCTGTGAGGACGTCGTTGGTGACGAAACGCATAGGGCATGGCCTACTGGATGCTGACGTCTGAGAATAAGCGCGGGGTCTACGAGTAGAGGATCCGTGGTAGACGGTGGTGTGCCTACATATTGTTGCGTGTATCAATGCCCATGAAACTGGTGTCGGTGTAGACACCTTAAAATGTGTGTGATTTATACATTAAAGCTTTTAAACGATTTGAAGCTTGTTGCACTATGATCTCTTCCTTTTACTTTTAAACATGGTCCCAATGATATGGAGATATACGATTTAGAGATGATATATACCCCTGGGAAATTATCTAGAGCTTTGAATGGTGGCGATTCATCCAATAGGATATCGGTTGCTTGCAGAGTATTGCATTCAAGAACTTAATTGATATCTACTGCTCCCAGAGCAAAAGCGTTTTTTGCTGGTCCAATTGTTGATCAGCACTGAGTTCTGGTGAGTGATCCAACTTCTTTGGTGGTGGATTTGACACGGTGTGGACACTATCTGTTTTGCAAAATATTTTTTTTGGAGATATATATATATTTTTTGGACATTTATCAACACTTTTGCACGTATTTTTCTTTTTTTTATAGATTTTTTTTAGTTTTTTGAAGTAGGAATTTGCTGCTTTAGTCTCTCAGGGTGTGGCGCTTTTCTAACAATACTTTGATGTTGGTAATTGGCGCCTGTCTAAATTGGCTCTAGTCTGTGTTTGTATGAATGTGAGTTAGGGACCTTAGATTGTACGCTCCTTGAGGGCATTCTGGGCTCCTGTACGTGGCTAGGCTGCCAAAACGTATGGCAACAAATGGGATCTGCAAAATACTTGCCACATCGTTTTGTAAATACCTTGGAGTGATTACTTTCCAAAAATGGAGTGTATTTGTGAAGTGTACTACCCTGACATTTCAGGGCCACAACTGTGATAGGTAGTGCAGAAATTAAATTAGAAAATTACGCCCTTTGAAAGCCTGAAGGTAGCCAATGGTTTTCGGCCCCCTGTATGCAGTTAGGCTCCCAAAGTCTTACACGTATGGTATCCTCATAATCGTAAGAATCAGCAGAATGTGTTTTGGGGGGGGGTGTTTGTACTATCCTGGCATTTCAGGGACTCTAAAACTGTGATAGGTAGTCAGGAAGTGAAATGAGGAAAGTATACCCTTTGAAAGCCTGAAGGTAGTCATTGGTTTTCGACCCCTGTATGCAGCTAGGCTCCCAAAAAGTCTCACATGTGATATCCCCACACTCAGGAGAAGTAGCAGAATGTGTTTTGGGGTGTAATTCCACATATACCCATGGCATGTTTGAGAAATATTTCATTAAATTACACTCTGTGTAAAAAAAATAATACATAAACTTTTTTTGTCATGTACCTAAAATTTGTGGCGAAAAAAATTAAATCTTCCATGCACTCAACACGTCTCTCAGCAAATACCTTGGGGTGTCTCCCTTCCAAAAAGGGGTCATTTGGGGAGTGTTTGTACTATCCTGGAATTTCAGGACCTCCAAAGCTATGATAGGTAGTCAGGAAGTGAAATGAGGAAATTATGGAAAAGACTGGGGTGCCGTTAAAGTTCATGTGCATGTAAAGCAGTACCGTATTTTCCGGTGTATAAGGCGACTGGGTGTATAAAACGACCCCCTAATTTTCCAGTTAAAACATAGGTTTTGGGCTATACTCGTCATATAAGACTACCCCCCTTCTGAGGCAACACCATTTAACCCCTAGCCTACAGGGCACTTATACCCACTTCCCCCCCCCCCCACTGCCAATTTTCAGCTTTCAGCGCTGTCACACTTTGAATGACAATTGCGCGGTCATGCAACACTGTACCCATATGAAATAGGTGGCACTGATGAGGAGGCACTGGTAGGTGGCACTGATGGGCATTGACCGGCATCATTGATGGGCACTGAAAGGCAGCACTGATTTATGGCACTGATAGGCGGCACTGACTGGCACTGATAGGTGGCACTGATGGGCATTGACAGGCATCACTGATGGGCACTGAAAGGCAGCACTGATACATGGCACTGATAGGCGGCACTGATTGGCAGCACTGATAGGTGGCACTGATAGGCGGCACTGACTGGCACTGATGGGTGACACTGAAAGGCAGCTCAGATGGGCACTGATATGTGGCATTGATGTGCACTGGTAGGCACTGATATGTGGCATTGATGTGGCACTGATGGACACTGACAGCTGGCACTGCTGGGGCTACACTGATCATCAGGGCACACTGATCATCAGTGCCCTGATGATCAGTGTAGATGTCCCCTCTGAGGAATGCCGATTACCGGCTCTCCTCTCCTCTGTCAGTGTGACAGCTTGAGAGGAGAGAAATGCCGATAACCGGCATTTCCGTTTACATGTGATCAGCTGTGATTGGACACAGCTGATCACATGCCCAAGCCGACATCTTCGGCTCTTTCGAGGGACACAGCGCATTGCCGCGCATGCGCAGAGAATGGGAGGACGTCATATGAGCCAATCACGGCAAGTGATGTATTCTATTAATGAATACAGAGCCTGCTCGGATTGGCTGCGTCAGAGAGGCGGGCTGATGATGTCACAACTTTAGCCAATCCGAGCAGGCTCCGTATTCATTAATAGAATACATCGCTCGCCTTGATTGGCTCAGCGCGGTACACTGTATGTAGCTGAAGCTACCGTACAGTAGTACCGCACATCCAGTTCTATACCCGGCGTATAAGACGACCCCCAATTGTTGGGGTATGTTTTTAAGTAAAAAAAGTTGTCTTATACGCCGGAAAATATGGTAATCCCAATACTATTGGCAATTTAGTGTATACTTAATATTAGTGTATCTTGGTCCTGTTTGATTTATGAATTATGTGTAAATTTTGTTAAGTTGTGAATTGAGCAAAGGTCTCTGAGAGGTCACCTCATGCCTTTCTGCTTTCTGGGTGGACATTTTATGGCACGCTGTGTTCCTAGTGCTTTAGTTGCCCAACAAACCAGGTGACAGAACTGAAGGATTTTGTCATAGTTTTATGAGGCTCTTTTGAAGTGTGATAAAAGTTAAGGCTATGAATTCCATGAACTGAAGGAGAAGGGAGGAGGTAAGATCACTGGGCTATGTCTTCTCATGACAAAAATGGCTTAGACCTGAACACAATGGAGGTTGCCTACAGTTTTCATGTGCCTAATGTGCACAACAATTACATCTCCCCCCTCAAGTGGTTGCATGTGAGGGAATGGCACTTTCCCTCCTGACGCAACCAACTTCTGCTGGTTCGGCTTGTCAACCCATCCACACTGCCATGGTTAATGCCCTTCTTATGCTGTATGGTGAAATAGTATTGCTGAAGAATTAGGCTCCAACGAAGTAGTTTGCCATTCTCTCAAGAACTCCAACAAAGTAGTTTGCCATTCTCTCCAGAAACACGATTTAGCTAGTTTAGGGAATTGTGATCTTTGATCACGGTGAAGTGCTGTCCATAAAGGTACATTTGCAGCTTCTGGAGAGCCCACACGATCGCATGACATTCCTTTTCAAATGTGGCATATGCTACTTCCCTGGGAAGCAGCTTCTTGCTCAGGTAGAGGATGGGATGTTCCTCTCCTGCATCATTAACCTAGCTCAGGACTGCACCCAATCCATAGGCAGAGGCATCCATCTGCATTAGTAAACAGCGGGTGAAGTCAGGAGCCTGTAGCACAGGGGCACTGGCCAGCGCTTCCTTCAAGGCTTGAAATGCCTTCCCAGAATCTGGTATCCAAAACACCACCTTGAGCAGTTTCTTTTTGGTTAAGTCAGTCAGAGATTTTGTCTGGCTACTGTAGATACAAATTTCACAGTAGCCAGCTGTCCTTAGGAATGGCATAACCTGCCTTTTGGTTTAATATATAGGCCAGGGCAGGATGGCCTCATCCTTCCCTGCCTTAGGTCTCAAGGTGCCTCCTCCTACCTGGTTCCCAAGTACTGCAGATCAGTCATGCCTATTTGCACTTACTGGGTTTGACGGTCAGATTGACTGCTGTCAGTTTGTGCAGAATCTGGGACAGGTGCAACAGGTGTTCTTCCTAGGTAGGGCAGAACACGGCAATGTCATCCAGGCAGGCTACTGCAAAGGTCTCCAAACCCTCCAGTAAGTCATTCATCACTCTCTGGAAGGTAGCTGTGGCATTCTTCATCCCATGACGGTAAATTCAGACAAGCCGAATGGGGTGATGGAGGCAGGCTTCTCCCGAGCCTCAGTTGCCAGAGGAATTTGCCAGTATCCTCTGCTCAGATTAATGATTGTGATAGCAGCAGGCAGCCACCAGCCTATCCAACAGCTCATCAAACCGGGCATGGGGTAGGTGTCTGCAGTGGTGATGGCATTCAGCTTCCTGTAGACTACACAGAACTTGGTCGACTGATCATTTTTGGGGACCAGGATTACTGGGGATGCCCAGGCATTATGGGAGTTCTGAATCACCCCCAGTTGCAGCATTTTCTCAACCTCTCTTTTCATGCCAGGCAGCACCTCCAAAAAGAGTCGACTGTTTAATGGAAGGATGTGACCCTGTGTCCACTTGGTGGACAGCGAGGTGTGTCCTCATAGGTTTTCCAGTAAAACTGTGTCAAGGATCCGGATGTGACCAGAGATGTGTGGACTGACACAGGGAATAGCAGGCTTCAGGAGTAATGTAATAATAATATAGTTTATTTGTGCAACACACCAATATACAAATGTACCGTGCAAGTAAAAAACAAATAATCAGAAACCTTCACCCAATATATACAGAACAAATGAGTAGTCAGGGCTAGCCGGGCTCATACACTGTTGATCAAGCATGGGGTAGGGAGAGGCAGACAGGACACGGAGCAGATCACAGGAACAGGAAGCAGGCTCAGGAAAACAGGTTATCACAGGCACATGGGAACAAAACACCAAGTCACTGGTTACAGGCATGATTGCTGCTTAAATACACCTCCTGCAATTAGCCTCAGGTGATGGCTTGATTGCAGGAGGTGAGATCCTGGCTGCTGAAAAGCACCCGCTGGCAAGAACTGGTACTGTCGCCCATCAGCACCAGCAGCGATGAGTCCTTTCCTGACAGTACCCCCCCTTTAAGGAGCAGCCTCAGGATGCTCCAAACAGTCCTTAGTGGGCAAAATGTTCCACCACCCGGGTCAGGTAACTGGCTGGATATCCCACTGCCGGAGTCAAGCGTCTGGCTGGGTCTCCTGCTGGTCGACTTATCTTTATGTAGGAGAACACAGGAAGACAGGTTGCTGGACACAGGATCTCCAGAAGCAGACTGGGAATCAGGTATCGGCCAGTTTAGCTGGATGGCAGCGGGCGGAGGCACATCAGGCTGGGCAGCGAGCGGAGGCACATCAGGCTGGGCAGCGGGCACTGGGTTGTCAGGCTGGGCAGCGGGCACCGGGTCATCAGGCTGGATAACGGGCATCGGGTCATCAGGCTGGATAGCAGGCATCGGGTCATCAGGCTAGATAACGGACATCAAGGCATCAGGCTGGATAACGGACATCAAGGCATCAGGCTGGTTAACAGGCATCGGATCATCAGGCTGGACAGCAGGCATCAGGTCATCAGGCTGGATAACAGGCATTGGGTCATCAGGCTGGATAACAGGCATCGGGTCATCAGGCTGGATAACAGAAGGCGGATTCTCAGACACCAGATTGGCCGATTTGGATACTGGCTGGATGGTACTGGTTGAAAAGAATTTTCTCTTCTTCTTGGGTTTGGATACTGGAGCACTGCAAGTGAATGCAGGGCTGTAAACAGAGGGAGCAGCTTTGAAGACAGAGAAGAGCTGAAGGATGGAACAGAGAAGGGAGCAGTTGCTACAGAGGACTTCTTGATGGCGTTAAAGGCAGGATAGGTGCAGTGAGTGGGAACATGGTACTGACATGTGGTTGATAGCAGGGTATACTGGGTTGTAACTGGGGGTGCTGTCGGGAATGCAGAAATAGAGCTTTGAGAAAATGGATTAGAAGCGGGACTGGGTTCTTGCAAGCTGACTGAGGCTGGGTGTAACAAATCTGACCATGTCTGTAGTACTGGTTGAACAAAGCTCAGCTTACACCTAGCCTGTCTGACCAAAGACTGCACTGCGTTTATACAGTCAACAAGCACATGTTGTGAACATGCTGAATAATGCTCAAAGAAAATCCGGATCATCCTCCAACAACCATTCCAGTGACTCTACTTGTTCTGTACTGAATGGTGGAGAAAAGTCATCCCTGCTTTCAGGGGTACTGGACAGAGCCAATTCAGCACAAGCCTGAAACAATGGCTGCACCTCAGAAAACACCGTGCCCTGATCTACTAGAGAATGAGCAACCCACATGCACTCGAGCAGCTGATCCCTGGCCCACTCCTTCAGAATCTTATAGCAGTATTCTCTGTCTTATATCGCTAGCAGAGACAAGTACACAACCTCTTCAGGATGCATCCTTCACAAACAACAAGCCAAGATGGCTTCCCTGTGCAGCCAGTTCTGGTCAGGACTGGCCTTGGTGTTATGTCAAGGATCGGGATGTGACCAGAGTTGTGTGGACTGACACAGGGAATAGCAGGCTTCAGGAGTAATGTAATAATAATATAGTTTATTTGTGCGACACACCAATATACAAACGCACCGTGCAAGTAAAAACCAAACAATCAGAAACCTTCACCCAATATATACAAAACAAAAGAGTAGTTAGGGCTAGCCGGGGTCATACACAGTTGATCAAGCATGGGGTAGGGAGAGGCAGACAGGACACGGAGCAGATCACAGGAACAGGACACAGGTTCAGGAAAACAGGTTATCACAGGCATATGGGAACAAAACACCAAGGCACTGGTTACAGGCATGATTGCTGCTTAAATACATCTCCTGCAATTAGCCTCAGGTGAGATCCTGGCTGCTGAAAAGCACCTGCTGGCAAGAACTGGTACTGCCGCCCATCAGCACCAGCAGCGATGAGTCCTTTCCTGACAAACTGCCAGCACTCTTCGCAGTCCAGGTACCTGAGTGAGGATAAGGTTGGAGTTGATCTGGAGGTCTGAGTCCACTTCCCTGGTACCAGCTAGCAGGTATAGAAGTGGATCAGCCTCCTCAGGCTCTGGTCTTCTGTAGACCAGTATGACATAGGCTGAACACTCATGGAGGGCTTTGAGTATATTCACATGAAAGGCCTTCTGCTATCTACTTCCTACTCCCAACCTGACCAAGTAGATGATATCATTCAGATGCTGGATGTGTATGGAACTTCCCATGCTGTTTGGAGTGTGTTCTGTCACAGGGGAAGCATAAAAATACACCTGCTGACCAATGTTGTATGTTGGCTTCCTGGCATTATGGTCATACCAATGTTTCTGCCTGCTCTGGGCCTGTGTCATGTTTTCCCGTACCATTTCCACCATTCCCACCAGCATCTCCGTTTTGTCTATGAATTTTAGCATGTAATCCACAACGGAGACTTCTGGGTCAGCAATTTTACC